CCAAAGACATAAGGAAAATACTAGCCCAAGAGATAGAAAGGGCCACATAAACCAGAGGCTTCATCAGCCTGAGACCAGAAGAACTAGATGGTGCCCGGCTACCACCAATGACTGACCTGACAGGGAACACAACAGAGAGTCCCTGACAGAGCAGGAGAAGAGTGGGGTGCAGAACTTAAATTCACATTAAAAAAAGCCCGCCTTAATGGTCTGACTGAGATTGGAGGGACCCCGGAATACATAGCCCCTGGACTCTCTGTTAGTCCAAAACTAAAACCATTCCTGAAGCCAACTCTTCAGACAAAGATTAGACTGGACTATAAGACATAAAATGGTACCCATGAAGAGTGTGCTTCTTAGCTCAAGTAGATATATGAGACTAAATGGGCAGCTCCTGTCTGGAGGCAAGATGAGAAGGCAGAAAGGGACAGGAGCTAGTTGAATGGACAAGGGAAATCCGAGGTGGAAAGAAGGAGTGTGCTGTCACTTTAAAGGGAGAGCAACTAGGGTCACATAACAATGTGTTTATAAATTTTTGTATGAGAAACTAACTTGAGCTGTAAACTTACACTTAAAGAGCAGTAAAAAGAATTTATTATGCTAATAAAATATCACTAACTTTGTGGCTACATCTAGTGGGATGATAGACGTACAGGTACACAGCAAGGATTTGGCCCATGGTGTTGGTGTCTTTCATCTGTTTTCTCACTCTTGCCATTCCTTCTCTTTACCTTTTTTCTATTTCTTCCATATTTATTTAACCCAGTTTCGGTGAGGAAATGTAATATGTATAAATATACACGTACATTTTTTAAAACTAATATTGTGTTTCAGGTGAAAGTTTACACAGGAAATTAGGTTTCCATTTAACAGTTTTTATACAGATTGTTCTATGACATTGGTTGCATTTTTCACAGCATGTCAGCATTCTCATTATTTCCATTCTGATCATTCTGCTTCCATTAATCTAGCTTCCCTGCCCCCCTTACCTTCTCATCTTTGCTTTAGGGTAAGCGTTGACTGTTTGATTTCAGATAATTGATCATTTAACGGAGCACAGTACTCACGGGTGATATTGTTTATTTTATAAGCCAGCCTATTGTTTGGATGTACATTGTTTTTATGGAATAAAATAAGAAAGTCAGACGAGAGAAATGTTTTCATAGTTCCATAAGAATTCTATGTATTTTTTTCCCTCCAGTGGGAAATAAGGCCAGATAGCTATTGAGCAAATATTTGTTGAGTACCTCCTGGAACATAGGGAATATAGCAGTTAACTAGCCAAAAGTTCACTCCCTTTGTTAAGTTTACATTGTCATGTACTGGGAAGCGGAGGTGAACATTATTACATTTCTAGGAATTCCTTCCCATCCTGACTTGTTTTAGACATCTTAATTTCAGTCAGATTTTAAAGTTTGTTGAGCCCCTTTAAATTTTTGCCAGATTAATAAGAAATAGTTATTTTTTTCAATTCTACATATATTCTTTATATTTGGATCAGAAAAGTGTACTGATTTTGGCTATTCAAAATTAATGAAGAATGTAATAATGATAGTACAGTCACATAGCACTGACCACCAGAATATATATGCCATTGTATTTATAGTATGGTGAGTAAAGCAACAGTTACTTGGCTAAAAAGTATTCTTGTGAATTATATAAGAAGATATAATGTTTATAAACAAGTAGTGCCAAGTAATATTTAAGACAATGCTTGGTGAAATATATGTCTTACTGTTATTAAAACTTGGCTTTTTTCCCTCCCGCAGGAGAAATCTCAATTATTTTTCCAATGCTTATGCAGCTGCAGTTAGTGCTGTGGATCCTGATGCGGGAAATGGAGAACTTTGCATTAAGGTTCCCTCAGAGCTTTGGAAACATGTTGATGGTAAAGTACCAAGACTATATTGACTTTACAGTAAAAGCATGTTAGATTCAGTAACTAGAAAATTTTACATGAAAATTACTGATGTCAGAATTGTAAATTAATCCGTTGAAATATACAACATTAAAAAGTTGGAAGCTCTTTTTTCTTCTTTTGAATAATATTTTATTGTGTATTTGGTGAATGTTTAAACGCTAAGTTCCCATTTGACAATTTCTATACAAATTGTTCAGTGACATTAGTTACATTTTTTTTACAATTCTTTTTTCTTAAGGATCATTGTCTAACAGGAAAATATCATGAAAGGCTGCAACAAAAAGCAGCTCATTGCGTTATTTTTTAAGAGTGAAGGTTTAAAAATTAGATAAATGGAACAATTTGTCAAGATTTGAGAACCACACAATATCAAATCTGTTTAGAATTTTAGCGCTTAGATCCTGAAAAATTATCTGGTTCAATTTTTTCCTTTTACACAAAAGACCAAAGAGTAAGTGACCTGTGGAGGTTCTTTTAGCTAATTAGTGGTAAGCCAAAGCTAGAACGTAAGGTTTCTGACGCCCATTCTGTGTATTTTTATGAATACCCTATCTTCTTATTTCTAAATCTTTATTTTTTTTTTATATAAAGTTTCTTGTATAAAGTCATCGTAATGATTTTATATAACCTTCTGCCTACCTTTATTTAGTCTTATGAAAATTAACTAAGATAAGGAAGTAAAAGACTTCTTGTTTTATTTTTGCTTTGTTTGTGTGTGTTTTGGGGAGGAAGGTGCACATTTTAGAGGACAGATACGGAAGGTTGTCACTGCATGTTCAGAGATTGGAGATAATTCAGGTTTTTGTTAGCGTTTTGGGGGATAATTAAAAAAAAATTTTTTTTAATGTTATGAAAGCAACACGTTTATTATGTAGAAGTTAAGCATAACAAAAAACATAATAATAAATACATAATATAAATCACTGGGTAGGCCTATCTGCCATCATTCCTTCCCTTACGTCCCAAAGTCAACCATGGTTAACAATCTGTAGGGGAATGTAATGGGAGATCAAACTTGAAAGTAAGTTTGGGGTTGGATCTGGAAAGCCTTAAGTGTTCTATGAGGGAGTTTTGAACTTTTTTCTTTAGGCATGTAACATTGTCATGAATTCTTAGAGGAGGATATGGCATGACCAGAGTTATATTTTGGGAAAACACACCTAGCAGTGACTAGAATTGATTGGAGGTAGGGACATCAGTGAAAGCAGGCTATTGAGTTAAAACAGGTGGAGAGAATGGTGAAAGCCTAAATTAGGGTAGAGAGTGTGGCTTTTTTTCATGTAAAACTGATTATTCCCACTTTATGTCCAGTGTAAGTCTTTGAGTTTATTAAATAAATAGAGACCACTGTTATTTATGTATTTATGTATCAATGTATGTGTGTATGTATTTGCTGCAGAGTTAAAGGTCTTGAAGATACACATCAATTTTTCTTTGGATCAGCCAAAAGGAGGTCTTCATTTTGTGGTACCCAGTGTGGAGGGAAGCATGGCTGAGAGAGGTGCTCATGTTTTCTCTTGTGGGTATCAAAATTCCACAAGGTAGATTATTAATTCTTACATATTTCAATTAATTTCATGTTTCCATTGCATTTTTTCTAGGTATGTGCACACATATTTAGTATAAAATGAGAAGTACAAGCTTAATCACCCAAACCTCTTCCACTTCTTCTGAACCTTGTTCAATTAGTCATTCCTCCTCTCTCGTGTGTCTTCCCTTTTCCTCTTTCTTCTGATTTTTTCCCCTTAACTAGTATTTATCTTCAGGTCTATTCTTCTAAGATAATCATCGCACTTGATTCTTTTTTTTTTAACTTTATATTGAAATAGGAGCCCTGATGGCACAGTGGTTAAGAGCTTGGCTGCTAACCAAAAGGTCAACAGCTCGAATCCACCAGCTGCTCCTTGGAAACTCCATGGGACAGTTCTTCTCTGTCCTATATGGTTGCTATGAGTCGGAATCAACTTGACAGCAGTGGGTTTGGTTTTTTTTTTGGTTTGGTATATTGAAGTAAAACATACAGAAAATTGCATGCAGCTCTGTAGTTCACTGATTTTTTATCTTTTTTCCTTGTTCAGCTAGTCTTCGTAAAAGAAGAATTTACACTCTCTTTTTGTACAGCTCTCACCTGTTAGTTGTCCGCCCATTTATCAGATCTTATTGAAATATTTAATAATATGTATGCTCTCCTCAAACTATTAACTCCTCTAAGGCAGGGATGATGTCTTATACTTCTTTGTGTTTCAGTAGTAAGTACAAACCCTGGCACATAATAAGAACTGACCTTAATTGAAAGAGAATCGAATAGAAATTTTATATTTGGCTTTACTAGCACTCAGTTTGACTTTATATAAATGTATTAAATATTCCAGAAAAGCAATTTCCTAACTTATGGAATAGATTCTGAATATTAATTGTGTTTTATAAAGCTTTATTATAATTTTTTTTAGTTTCTGGCAGTGAATACTACATGTAAATTAATGTGAAGATATAAGTTGAAAGTATTTTTTTTTAATTAAAAATGGGACATAAAAGTTAATTAACTTTTTTAGAGTTTGAACTGGAAGTATCACATGATATATTTTCTTAATATTGCTGCATAAAATTTGGGAACAGAGTTTTAAAAATCAGGTTCTTTCAAGTTACACAGTAAAAAGCTTCAGTAGTCAAATAGCTAAAGTTTTTCGGTGTTTTCTAGAAATGTTAAAATCATTTATAGATTAAGAAAACAATACAGGGTGTACTTTCAGTGTATTTTTTATACTGTCAATCTTTTTTCTAGATTTTGGTTCCCATGTGTTGATTCATACTCTGAATTATGTACATGGAAATTAGAATTCACAGTAGATGCTGCAATGGTGGCTGTTTCCAATGGAGATTTGGTGGAGACAGTGTATACCCATGATATGAGGAAGAAGACCTTCCATTACATGCTTACCATTCCAACAGCAGCGTCAAATATCTCCTTGGCCATTGGACCTTTTGAAATACTTGTAGATCCATATATGCATGAGGTAGGTCATATCTTCTTCCCCCTTACCCTCATCCCACCCTCCCACTCCCAGTAAAAAGGAGAGTAATAATGAAATTCTTTATCTTTCTTAACTGTGCATTTAACTATCAAGAACATCACTAGAAAGAAAATGTTTCTTTAACTGATATATTTAATGATACGAATTCTTGAATGAATACCCTTCAAAATGTCATATTAAAATTTTAGGTCTTTTTCAACAGGGGGCTTAGCGTTCCAAAAGATCATCAAGCCTATCTTGATTACTAATTCTGTCATTATTGTCATCTTGTTTGCCATATGTTTATGAATGTTCTGTTCCCATCTCTGGAATTTTAAATACTGCAATTTCAAAATTACAAAGCAAGATTTAATCTCACTTCAGGGTATACAGAGGAAAAAAGAAAAGCCTGAGGTAGCATTAGAATTCTGATCAGCACACTCATGAAGATTTCTTTCAGGTTTAACTTAGGCATTTTACAGTTTCCGCCCATCCCACATCTTGTCATAAATCATATATCAGTTGATAGGCCAAATAGTACTTTTAGGCCTTCCCAGGCATGAGACTTCTTGTGGTTAGAAAGTAATTCATTGGTTGTTGACCCTCTTAGCCTCTATATCTATATAAAATAACATTTGAATGGCTGTCTTTTTATTTACTATTGGTCTTTTATATTTTCTATGTAATTTTTTATATTGAAAGCGTATGCTGTGACCATGTATATCGCAGCAGCATTTCTTGCAGTTACGTGAGCAAAAAATTGAGGAGAACCAGGTCTAGAAAGACTATCTGTGAGCTCCTCGGTCTCCCTTTCCTGAAATTCACAAGTTTGATAAAATCACTCACGGAGAAGATTCCACATGTTTTGTGAATGGTTTTGCTTCTGCTGTCCTAATACAGACTCTTTTAAAAGTGTATCCACTGATAAGATTGGCAGTGAACTTTATCTTTGGTAAATGATCAATTTGAAAATCACTTTTTTTAAATTAGCACCGACTTTGTATTTAGGAAGAATTTTTTTTCCTACTCTGAGCTGTTGGATGGCAGTAAGGTAAATAACAGTCAAGCAGTGTTTTCTTGAATACTCAGAGCCCATGACTTTGTTCCTCTCTGTCTCAAATAGATGGTAGTTGTTACCAGCATTCTCAGTACATTTGCTTTTGTGTAAATTTGTCTGAACATGAGTCCTTTTTTTGATGAACAGTATTTTATGTTTTTGGTTGTGTATAAAGAGGTGTGTTGATCGTGATGCTGTTTGGGCCCTGGCCATTAATAATTTATAGAAGCTCATTCCCCACTATTATGGTGCCCTCTTATTTATAATGTTCCAGAAGAATAATTTTAATCATATGTTAAAAATTGTCCTTGCTTCTACAATCCTGCAGTAATCAGAACTCTATAGCATGACTTTCAAGTTCTAGAATTTTATCCCAATTTTCCTTTCTAGCGTTTTCCTCACTCAGAATAATTTACATGTATTTCTCTGATCATACCTTATTTATTTCTATCTCTGCTTGGATATCCTCTTTCCCCTTCTTAAGCTATCTAACTTGTCCAGCTCAAAAGAATTAACTGATCTCTGTCCTTGTTAATGCCATTCATTTGACACAGAGCCATAATATGAGACGTATGTGATATTTGTGTGTTCATGTCCAAGATGAGATGTAACCTGGTAAGAAAATCAGAATTACTATTTTTGTTGCAGACATTTCTTGTTAATGAACTTCCCTAAAGCTTCCGGTATGTAGTTAAGATGTTAGAGAAGAACTATAGTAATTGTTTTTTATATTCAGTGAAGATAGTTTAATTAACATTTACTTATTAGGATAGTACTATGATGTGCAACATTCACTTGGTTAGACATTTATGAATAAAAGCTATATTAAATGTTTTTTGTTATGTATATATTTGCAGAAAAAATTTTCATTTTGAACCGAAGTTAAATTTTCAGTGGATCTAGGCATTTTGTAGGCTTGTAATTCATCATGAATTTTTTTAAGTCCAGTGAATATTTTGTTAACATGGTCAGTAAAAGTAATGACTAATTTCACAGTATCAGTTTCTTTTTTAGTATCATGAAATTTGTAAAAAAAATTTGAACATTTATTTATAATTGAGATATTTAGGAATTTTAAAATATTAAAGTTAACTCTTCCATCTAAATGATTTTTCTCCTTGCTTTGCGTTTTCAGGTGACTCATTTTTGTTTACCCCAACTTCTTCCATTGCTTAAACATACTACGTCATATCTTCATGAAGTCTTTGAATTTTATGAGGAAATTCTTACATGTCGATACCCATACTCCTGTTTTAAAACTGTGTTCATCGATGAGGCTTATGTTGAAGTGGCTGCTTATGCTTCCATGAGCATTTTTAGGTTGGTCTTCAAATTTGAAATGCCTGCATTAGGATAGTATAAAGAAAAGTTACTTCTTGTGTGATCAATTGTAAGATGAGCTTTGAACTTTTTTCTTTAATTTAGAGGTGGTTGGCTTTGTAGAAAAATCTTTCTAGTTCTTTTTTAAAATTAAAAAAAATACAAAAATGTAAAAAACATTTTTAAATAACCCAAAAAACTCATATTATCTTTATCCAGAATTAACTGATATTAATATTTTGCATATTTTCTTTTTTTTCTGTTTATGCATTTAAAAAATTTATATAAGTTATTACATGGACAGCTAGTGGGTTTTTTTTTTCCTAGCATTATTTAAAAATTTACCCGAGAACATCAGAAATTTGTTTGAAATTTCTTTTCCTTTTTTTTTCCTTCTTCCCTCCTTCTCTGTCATCTTTTCCCTCTGTTCCTCGCCTTCCTCCTTGGGGCTCTTCCAGATTTAGAAGTTTTATGTCTCAGGCTCAGTCATTTTTACCTTTGCTGTACCTAAATCTTCTCATTTGTAAAATGGGAATGATAATGCTGTCCATGCATTTTCCAGCAGCTTGTTAGAAAGATCTGATGGGATAAGGTATTTGAAAGTAAATAATAGAGCACAGTCAAGGTAATAGTTATTATCAGGAGAAGATTTTTGGAAGTAGCAGGGCCTTTGTATGTGAGGATCAGTTTCATTAATGATGCTCTCCTACCTCCCTCATCAAAAGGTATTTATATTCCTTTAAGCAAAAGTCATAATGATAATGAATTTCAGCTACATTTTGAAAAGATGAGAAAACTCTTTGGAGAATATTCTGATTTTTCTCTTTTATGTCTAACTTGGAGCCCTGATGGCACAGCGGTTAGAGCCATGGTTACTAACCAAAAGGTCGGCAATTTGAATCCACCAGCTGCACCTTTGCAACCCTATGAGGCAGTTCTACTCTGTTCTGTAGGGTCACTATGAGTCAAAATTGACTCGACGGCAGTGGGTTCGGTTTTGGTTTTTGTATGTCTAACTTATATTCCATTATTTTGAAAGTGTAATTTTAATGTTATTTTAGCTGAATAATTGAGTGTTTCTTGGTTATAGTTATCTTTCTCTTCTTTTAAATTCTAGCACAAATCTTTTACACAGTGCCATGATTATAGATGAGACACCTTTGACTAGAAGGTGTTTAGCCCAGTCCTTGGCCCAGCAGTTTTTTGGATGTTTCATATCCAGAATGTCTTGGTGAGTATCTTCAAAGTTTACAACTACTGAGAAAAAAAATCTGGAAAGTTTATTTTCTTTTAGTGTAGTATAAGCTGACCTTTGCCTTAATAGCAAATAGTTCCTTTAAAAGGCAGATTCTATATTTATTTAAAGAAAAATAATATAAATTTCATTTCAGTTTTTTGGCCATGAAATCAATATTGTAATCCTGTAATTTACAGTAAGACTGAGGTAAGAATTTTGATAGCAGTAATTTCTTAAAGAACTAAATGCGTATTATAGATATAAGGACTTGAAATAGAAAACTAGAGTGAGACTGCTAATGCATTCAAAGCAATTGGTAATGTTCAAGGCAAAATAATAGTCATAGTGACAGTGATGTGGGGATTTACCTGCTAGTGCTCAGCTTTGTACCAATTTACTTGAAAGAAGTGAGAGGTGAAACGACTTTTTTTCTTTTTGATTAAACTTGAGATGAATTTGTAGAAAAATTCCCTTAAGATTATAAATTGTAATTTTGAATATTCTGTGCTATATGTAGTATGTAAATCTTGGTTCCTTTCTTTTTTTTTTTTTTTTACTAGAAGTGAGAAAGGAGAGGGTAAGGCCTCTGACTTGTGATTTTCCTAAAATAATTACACATCGTTTCATTAAAGAATAGTGCCTGGAACTTGATAGGCAAAGTGTTTGAATGAATGAATATGTGAATGAATGATGTTAATTACCTTTCCTCTTGAGAAACTAAAAAATAAGTCAAGTAAATAAATTCTAGGCCTTTTAATGCCATTGATAATTATGCATCAGATTGGCAATACTAGAAGTGGACTTTAAGAATTGAGCGGTGTAGTTCTGGGTGTGGGCAACTATTTCCTTAGAGGTAGACAATGTGAAGGTAGAGTTGGGCAAGAGGGAAGCAGCATTGCCAGAGTAGAGCACATACATAGGTAAATTATATTTGAAATGAAATTCTAAAGCAGTTTTATAGTTAAAAGGTAAAGCCAGATGTGAAGAGAAAGTAGAACTGGTCAACTCGACCAGAGGAAGTGGGAAAATCAAATAATTTGTTAATAACTTCATTTTGCTTTAGGAAAACCAAGAAGTAAATACTATGCTTGTTCCGTTATCCTCTTTGGCTTCATCTGAAGATTTTTTTGACTGAAAGAAGCTTAGATTTTACCGTTTTGTTTAGGTCTGATGAATGGGTGCTGAAGGGAATTTCAGGCTATATTTATGGACTTTGGATGAAAAAAACTTTTGGTGTTAATGAGTACCGCCACTGGATTAAGGAGGTAAGAGATCCATTATCCACTTACAAGTCATTTAGACATGTTAGTGTCCTACTGATTTCCAAGTCATGTGCCCTTTATTTTTAATAACTGTAAAGTATTTATAAAAATGTCATTTTAAAGTTCCTGAGTTTTCACAGTAAAATGGGAATCACTTTACTAAGAAGCACTAATGGTCTATTTTATCTGCTTACTAGCGTTGGCCCCGATGTCTATTTTTTTTTTTTTTTTTTTTAAGTAGGAGAATGTTTAGGATTTTTAACATCAAGTTAGTTTTTAGATATATTCCAGATCCTCATAGTAGTCATTTATAACTGTGCTTCCAAAGTTTGTTTACAGTTGGAGAACAGATTCTGGAGTCAGATTGCTTGCTTTTGAATCTCCCTCATACATTTACTAGCTTTGTGACTTTGGCTTATATTTCCAAGCCTCATCTGTATAAAAATCAAAAAACGAAATCCATTGCCATTGAGTCGATTTTGACTCAAGCAACTCTATAGGACAGAGTAGAACTGCCCGGTAGGGTTTCCAGGGAGTGACTGGCAGATTCGAACTGCCAACATTTTGGTTAGCATCCTGGCTCTTAAGCAGTGTGCCACCAGGGCCCCTCATCTGTATGAGAGGGAGTAATAGTAGTGTCTATCCCACTAGCAGGGGTTGTGAGGCATCATACATGTAATGTGCATTGCATGGTGCCTTGTACATAGTAAGTGCTTATAGGTTGGCTAGTCCTTGAATGCATTTATGTTCACTGCCATAGCATGTCTTTTTCCTACTATTTAAGAATTTGATCCCCCCACTCCCCCGCCACCAAAAAAATTATGTTTTACTCAGCCCATTCTGTTCATAGACATTTTAATCATATTATGCTTAGCTTCTTTCTTCCCAGGTCGAAAAATCTCAGTCTTTAATATCCTCATTAAGCTGACCCCTCCATCTTCCCCCTTCTCTCATTTTATTTATTTTCATCATCCAGGCCTAAAACTCAGGAAAGCCATCAAGTTAGTTGTAAAAGATTTCATCTAGAACTGGAAGGATCCATTCTTCACTTTGTAAATTAGTAGAGAAGAGGAAAAAAAATAATATGTAGCACTTAACAATGTACCTGGCACTGGTAGAAAGATTTTAGAAATATTAACTCATTTAATCCTCATAAAAACTAAAAACCCATTGCTGTGAGGTCAGTTCTGACTCATAGAGACCCTATAGGACAGAGTAGAACTGCCCCATAGGGTTTCCAAGGAGCTTCTGGTGGATTCGATCTGCCAGCCTTTTCGTTAGCTGCAAATGCTTAACCTCTGAGCCACCAGGGCTCCTTAATCCTCATAACAACTTTGTTAGTATCCACATTTTATAGGCGAGAAAACTGAGGCACAGAGAGGTTAAGTTATTTGGCCAAAGTTACATAGCTAGTAAGTAATAGAGTCTGGATTTAAACCTGACCTTTAACCATTTCAGTGTGCTTTTTAACACTTCTCTACGCTGCATCTCCACTACTGTCAGTTTGCCGTCCTCTAGTGTCTTGCTTGTTGCTATTAAGCAGGAAGCTATGCTACTGGCATTTCAGATACCAGCAGGGTCATCCATGGTGGGCAGGTTTCAGTGGAGCTTTTAGATTAAGACAGAAGAAAGGCTTGGCAATTGACTTCTGAAATTAGCCAGTAGAAATGCTATGGGTTAGAACAGAATATTGTCCGACTGGACTCAAACATGTCAATGATTGTAAAGATGACACAGAACTGGACACCGTTTTCATTCTCTTATATGTAGAGTCACCATGAATCGGAGATGGCGCGGTGGCAGCCAACAACACTGTATCTGTATCATTTAAACTGGTCACGAATTTCCGGCACAGTTGCTTTATTGTGTTTTCTTCACTGAACTTTTTTTTTTTTCAACTTTGATCTATTAAAGGAAGAGTTCAGAAGTTTTAAAATGATGAATTTCTAAAATAATTTTATCCCTGTTTCTTTTTACTTGCCTAAATACCCCACCAGAAGCAAAATAGAGAGAAGGAAGAAATAAACTTGGAACATAAGTCAGAGAGGTTGGGAAGAGCCATTATGAAAAGTTGCCAGGCTATTGGCCAGCCCTGAAGTCACAATGTGGAGAAGGCTTTTTGGCTCTATCATTTAGCCAGCCATCCCATCTGCTTTGTTTATAAGTACATAATTTATTCTCAAAATACATACATCTCATTTATTTTAAGAAATTTATATTCTGATTTCAGAAAATGAGAATTCACAGGTCAGTTCTGAAATTGGATGTGTGAAAAAATATTTTCGTTGACTCCTAGTTTTATATCTTTTTTAGGAACTAGACAAAATAGTGGCGTATGAATTGAAGACTGGTGGAGTTTTATTGCATCCCATTTTTGGTGGAGGGAAAGAGAAGGATAAGTATGTTTATTTTTCAGAGACGATATTATAAACCTGTTTTAAGGGATCATTGTTACATGATCACTTGTATGTATGTCGAGGCCCACACAAAGTCAAAGGAGTAGTAATAGTGTGTAATAATATTGATGCCACAAACACTGGTGATATTTTCATTACTCCTTTCAGTAAGTTTGCTGTTTTTATCATATATGATAACTATTGTCAGTAATAGAAATCATGGATATTTTTCTGTCACATTATAATTGTTGCAAATTACTTTGAAATATCCTTTGCAGTCATCACTATCTCACAGTTACCACAGTTATTAGATCAGCTGCTAGATCCTAGTATTTAATGCATTGATAAGCTAGCATGTATACAACTTAAATGTTCATATATATACATCATAAATATTTTCTGCTAGACTGTAGCCTTAATCTACTCATGATCTTTCTCACCACATCAAAATTTTTACATAGTCTTTATGTCTTTGGATTTTGTTTTTCCCATCCCAAAATTATGAAGACAATTTTTTCCTTTATTTTGTTCTAGTACTTTTAGAATTGTTTTTGTTTGATTATGTTAAATATGTAATCCATCTTGAGTGTATTTTTTTTTAATTTTATTGTACTTTAGATGAAGGTTTATGGAACATACTGGCTTCTCATTAAACAGTACACATAAATTGTTTTATGACATTGGTTAACAGCTCCATGACATGTCAACACTCTCCCTTCTCGACCTTGGATTTGCTATTACCAGCTTTCCTGTCTGTCCCCTCCTGCCTTTCATCCTTGCCACTGGGCTGATACGCTTTATGGGCCTGTCTAATCTTTGGCTGAAGGGTGAACCTTAGGAGTGACTTCATTACTGAGCTAAAAGGGTGTCCGGGGGCCATACTCTCAGGATTTCTCCAGTCTTTGTCAGGCCAGTAAGTCTAGTCTTTTTTTGTGAGTTAGAATTTTGTTCTACATTTTTCTCCAGCTCTGTCCAGGACGCTCTGTTGTGATCCCTGTCAGAGCAGTCAGTGGTGGTAGACAGGCACCATCTAGTTGTGCTGGACTCAGTCTGATGGAGGCCATGGTAGTTGTGGTCCATTAGTCCTCTGAACTAATCTTTCCCTTCTATCTTTGGTTTTCTTCATTCTCCCTTGCTCCCGAAGGGGTGAGACCAGTGGAGTATCTTAGATGGCCGCTCACGGGCTTTTAAGACGCCAGACACTACTCAACCAAAGTATAATGTAGAACATTTTCTTTATAAACTATGTTATGCCAGTTGAGCTAGATGTTCCCTGAGACCATGGTCCCCACAGCCCTCAGCCCGGCAGTTCGGTCCCTTAGGGTTGAATGTATTTTTTGCGTGTGCTTTAACATTGGGATGTTGATTGGAATTGCATTGATTTTATTGATGAATTGAAATATTTTTGGTATTTTGTATTCCAGTGTTTATAGTATTGTGTATTCCCACCTAGGTGTTTGGCACATGTCTCCATTTATTCAAGTTTTCTTTTATGCCTTTTAGTAAAACTTCATAATTTTCTTTCAGTTAGGTTTATTCTTACGTGTTTCCTGGTCTTTCTTGCTCTCATACTAATGAAATTGCTATGAATTTTTTTATATGTGTTTTTGATGAAAATTTACACAGCAAATTAGGTTCCCATTTAACAATTTCTATACATACTGTTCAGTGACATTGTTTACATTTTTCACAGTGTGTCAACATTCTCATTATTTCCATTCTGGTTGTTTTCTGTTTCCACTAACCTAGCTTCCCCATCCCCCCACCACCCCAAACCCCTTACCTTCTCATCTTTGTTTTAGGGTAAATGTTGACCATTTGGTCTCATATACCCGCTGCTGTCAAGTCGATTCCAACTCATAGCGACCTTAGAGGACAGAGTAGAACTGCCCCATAGGGTTTCCAAGGCTGTAAATCTTTATGGAAGCAGACTGCCACATCTTTCTTCCACGGAGCAGCTGGTAGGTTCAAACCACTGACCTTTTGGTTAGCAGCCGAGTGCTTTAACTACTGTGCCACCAGGGCTCCATTAGATCATTATTTAAAGGAGCACAGTACTCATGGGTGATGTTTATATTATGAGCCAATCTGTTACTTGGCTGAAAAGTGATCTGTGGGCGTGGTTTAGGTTCCAAATTTAAAGGGTATCTCAGCGCAGTAGTCTAGGGGATTCCTCTAGTCTCTAGTGGTCCAATAAGTCTGGCCTTTTTTAGGAATTTGAGTCTTGTTCTGCATTTTTCTCCTGTTCTATGTTGGACCATCTATTGTGTCCCTGGTCAGAATGGTAGGTAATGGTAGTCGGGCACCATCTAGTTCTTCTAATCTCAGGATAAATGAGGCCGTAGTTTGTGTGGGGTGTTAGTCCTGTAGAGTAGTTTCTTCTTTGAGTCTTTGATTTCCTTTTTTCTCTTTTGCTTCAGACGAGTACCTACCAATAGTTATATTTTAGATGGCTGCTCCCAAGCTTTTAAGACCCCAGATGCTACTCACCAAACTAGCATGTAGAAAATTATCTTTATGCACTATGTTAATGCCAGTTGACTGAGTTGCCCCACGAGATTGTGGTCCTAAGCCTTCAAACCCAGTAAACAAATCCCTCAAGATGTTTGGTTATGTCTAGGATGTCTCCATAACTGTGCCTTCTATGTGCTTTAGTGTATGTATGAATATATATGCAGCACAAACATGTATATACATATGCCTCCAGATGCACCTGTACATGTACACCCATATGCTCACATGTGCCGTCTTGTACACATATATGTGTACATAGCTACCTCTGTAACCACACATACATTTTTTGGTTGTTATTAATGTTTTTGCAAAATTGTATATGTTACAGCGTTTACCAAAATCATCTCTTATTCTTGTGTACTTCTTAATGTCATCATTTACCTTGGTCATGCTGTGCAGACTTCGCCCATATTCAGTATTGTCTTTCCTGTCACCAAACATAACCAATAACAAGTGTCTACTGTCTAGAAAGTGATTCTCCCTCCCTGCCCCTTCCATACTTGGTAACCACCAAAGAACATTGCATTCTGTATGTATACCTGTTCTTGTCTTTTTATAAAAGTGAGAGCATACAATATTTGTCCTTTTGTGATTGACGTATTTCACTCAGCATTATGTCCTCCAGGTTCATCCATGTTATGTTTTGAGAACTCATCATTTTTCTTTATAGCTGCATAATATTCCATTGTATGTATGTACCACAATTTGTTTATCCATTCATCTGTTGATGGGCACTTAGGTTGTTTCTATCTTTTTGCTATTGTGAATAATGCTGCAGTGAACATAGGTGTGCATATGTATATTCCTGTCCCTGCTGTTAGATCTCTAAGGTATATACCTAGGAGTGGGATTGCTGGCTCATAAGGTATTTCTATTTCTAGGTTTTTGAGGAAGCATCATAACTGTTTTCCATAGTGGTGTACCATTTTACAGTACCGCCAGCAATTAATGTATAAGAGTTCCAGTCCCCTCACAACCTCGCTAGCATTTGTTGTTTTCTGTTTTTTTGATCAGTACCATTTTTGCAGAGGTGAGATGGTATCTCATTGTTGTTTTGATTTGCATCTTTCTAATGGCTGATGATCACAAGCATCTTTTGATGTGATTATTGGCCACCTGATTGTCGTCTTTGGTGAAGTGTTTGTTCATGTCCTTGGCCCATTTTTTTAATTGGATTACTTATCTTTTTGTTGTTGAGTTGTTGAAGTTTTCTATATGTTTTAGAGATTAGACCCTTATCAGGTATGTCATCCCCCAAGATTTTTTTCCAGTCTGTAGGTTCTTTTTTCACTCTTTTGGTAGTCTTTCGGTGAGCATACGTATTTAATTTTAGTAGGTCCCAGCTACCTAATTTGTCTTCTGTTGTTTTTGCATTTGTAGTTGTGTTTGATAGTCTGTTTTTAAAGAACACAACCTTATTTTTCCGCAAATAACGTGAACCTTCTATGTTTGTTTGCCAGCTGTGCCCACCCCCCGCAAGTTATTTTCGTAAGCGTGCTATGCTAATTTTTTTTACAGCAGCATGTAAAAAAAAGTTGGCTTAGCTGCACTTATGAAAATACCTCACAGGGGGAGGACATGATTGGCAAACAAACATAGAAGGCACACGTTTTTTACATAAAAATATGGTAGGTCCTATACTTTTGTCCCTGTGTTATCTTCCAGGAATTTTATAGATTTTGCTTTAACATTTAGGTCTTTGATGCATTTTGAGTTGCTGTGAATTTTGATTTATTGTCTTGTTATAGCCATGGAATTTATTGCTTATTTAATGTTCAAATTTGTTATATTAAGTAAATACACATATTTTTTTTTAGTCCAGCATCCCACCTACACTTTTCAATAAAGCATCCACATACACTCTCCTGGGAATATTACACTATGTTCCAGTGTAAAGCTCACCTTGTGATGAGATTGATTGAAAATAGGATCAGTATGGAATTTATGCTGCAAGTAAGTATTAAACTTAAGAACTTAACAATGGTAAAGAAAGATCTGTTCTGTATGTATGTTATCTTATAGAGGGCATCTAGGTTTATAGTTTGATTTCTGTTATTAATTAATTAGCTGTTTGCCCACTATGTAAGTGTGTGGCTTTTTTTGTTTGTTTTTTTGTTTTTGTTGTTTGCATTTTTTCAGATGTAGAATATCAGTACTTGTGCCACTTAGCACAAGATTATTATGAAAATAAAATTAGAATTGATGAAAGTAAAATCTATTTATGCATGTGATTTTGTTTTCTGCATTCCTTAGAATATTGATATTAAGGATGAAGTGCCATTTAGAAATGTTTTGAATATATTTTTTCAATGGAAAAAAGTAAACTAATCTAAAAGATGTTTAACTTTTACTGTTTTGCCAAATTCTGCCATATATTTTAAGCAAGTTTTGGTATAAATAGTTAAGATATAGTTGAGATAGTAGAAACCATCTGTATTATAAATGTTTAGCAATTTTTTTCATTGATAACAATCTTAGAGGTGGGTGAAAAATAACTTATTAATAATCTTTTTTAAGAACATTTTAAGTTTATCCTAACATTAAGTTTCTTTAATCCTCTTTCACCTTGCCTTTAGAGTAAAGAATAGACATATTAAATGAGAGATGGTCCATAAAGGGCCGTTCAACTTTTTGGAGTGGTATAAATCTGAATGAGTATTCTCAACCTCTTAAATAATGTTTAGATTCTCTGTAAAGCTCATAGCACAGTAAATTAGAGGTATTATATTGTTTATTATATAATTAGTTATAATTATTAATAAACAAAAGAGTCTTTAATGTTCATAGGAAAAATGGTTTTAATCTGTTTAAATCTTTGCATGTTTCTATTGCTAAGTAGCCTTTAACTGGAACAATATGTAGTAAAATGTGAAATTATTATCCTCCATAATTGACTATAAGAAAGTTATCAGGCAAAGTATGTATAGTACAGACTTTAAAGCAATATATATTATGTTACATGACCTTACTGATTGACACATTTGTCCTTACAGGTTTTCAATAAACTGCTAAGTCTGGCTAGTACTGCTTCATCTCAGAAGTTCCAGTCACATATGTGGAGTCAGATGTTGGTTTCCACATCTGGGTTTTTGAAGTCCATCTCCAATGTCTCTGGCAAAGACATCCAGCCTTTAATAAAGCAGTGGGTGTATCCTTTTTAATATCATTCAAAAAAGTGGGGAAGGGAATAAGGTACATGTATAAGGGAAAGGTGGAAGAAAAAGAATATAAGGGACTAAAGAGGGTATGCCTATTTTAATATTAGAAATAACCATGAACTGTGAATTATTTCCTCTAAGGTGACTATGATCATTGAGATATACACATACATATGTATCTGTGTATTTAAAATTTGGCATATTTTGAAGTAGTTTTTAGTGTGTGAGCGAAGCAATGGGTTTGATGGTGGTGGAGGTGAATAATCTACCAGACAGGGCTGTAGGATTACTTGTAAGATGCAGTGGACTGGTGACTTTTAGATGTGGTTAGAAGTTGGCACAACTTGAGTGGTATATTGGAACTTTGTAATTTTTTGCATTTTTTTTCATTTTAAAACACTATATTAATAACCTAGTAGAGTAGTTTTGCTTTTTTTAGAATACAAATTTCTTAATATTTCAGAAATTTTGTTTGAATCTGGGGAAACATTTCCACAAGAATTTTAAATACTTTACCACCTGGTTTGCAATGAAGTATGCTTCTCAAGTTTTGAATTCTTAGAGATGCATTTGAAAATGATTATTAATATAGTGAATAACTTATTTTGGTTAGTACATATTCATTTCATCATGTAAAGATTCCTTTACAATTCTTCAGAGACCAGAGTGGAGTAGTAAAATTTTATGGAAGTTTTGCATTTAATAGAAAACGAAATGTCTTGGAATTGGAAATAAAACAAGATTATACATCTCCTGGAACTCAGAAATATGTGGTAAGTTTATTTTCCAAAGTAGTCGTTTGCACTGCTATCTTCTAATTTTAGTATAGGAAGTGCTTAGGGGTGGGCTGGTAGTTGCAAGATTTATAATGAGGTTTTGTTTGGAGAAAATGAAATTGAGAAATCACCAAGTGTCAATGAGAGGTAACAGGGGTTAAAGTTGCAGTGGGCTCAAATTCTCCCAGTTACCCCGCCCTTTCTCATTAGCAGCCTTTCTGTGTCTCCAGATACACAGTTTGTATAGTATTATTTTATATCTTGATTTCTATACTGGTATACATAAGCATGGAGCCCTGGTGGTGCACTGTTTAAAGTGCTCAGCTGCTAACTGGAAGTTTGGTGGTGTGAACCCACCAGCCACTCCTTGGCAGAAAGATGTGGCAGGCTGCTCCCATAAAGATTACAGCCTTGGAAACCCTATAGGGCAGTTCTACTCTGTCCTATAGAGTGGCTATGAGTCAGAATCTGCTCGATGGCAGTGGGTTTTAGTTTTACACATAAGCATACATATTGGTATTTTTCTAGCACTGCCTTTGAACATTATGTTTCTTTTTAAAGGGACCACTTAAAGTAACAGTGCAGGAGTTAGATGGATCCTTCAATCATACATTGCAAATTGAAGAAAACAGCCTTAAACATGATATACCCTGCCATTCCAAAAGCAGACGGTACGCTTTGAATTGTAACTATCAACTGAAGTTATTAAACTATAAGTCACAGTTTAAAATGCCAAATTAAAAATCTTGTTGTGTACCCTAATTTTTTTTTAGGTAGGGAAAATGTTATCTAGTATCTTCTTTTCCATTTTGCTTGAACTTAGTATTACCAAAGATTCTTTGTTTACTGTCTGTTCTTTTTTTTTTTAATTATTTTTTCCCATATAAAAATTTATACATACATTGTTATGTGACTCTTATTGCTGTCCCCATACTATCACAGCACACTCCTCCTTTCCACCCCTGATAACCCCGTGTCCATTCAACCAGCCCCTAACCCTCTCTGCCTTCCCGTCTCACCTCCGGACAGAAGCTGCCTGTTGAGTCTCTTGTATCTACTTGAGCTAAGAGGCACACTCTCATGAGTATCACTTTATGTCCCACAGTCCAGTCCAATCCCTGTCTGAAGAGTTGGCCTCAGAAATTGTTTTAGTTCTGGACTGATAGAGAATCCAGGGGCTATGCTTTCCAGGGTACCTCCAGTCTCAGACCTTTAAATCTGGACTTCTTACTAGATTTGGAGTTCTGCACCCCACCTTTCTCCTGCTCCATCCAGGACTCTCTGTTGTGTTCCCTGTCAGGGCAGTCATTGGTGGTAGCCGGGTACCATCTAGTTCTTCTGGTCTCAGGCTAATGAATTCTCTGATTTATGTGGCCCTTTCTGCCTCTTGGTCTATTACTTTCTTTGTGTCTTTGGTCATTCTTCTTTACTCTAGGTGGTTGGGACCAATTGATACACCTTAGATGGCCACTTGCAAGCTTTTAAGACCCCAGATGCCACTCACCAAAGTAGGATGCAGAACATTTTCTTAATAAGCTTTGTTATGGCAATTGACCTAGATATCCCCTGAAAGCATGGTCCCCAGACCCCTACCCCTGCTGCTCTCTCCCTCACAGTGTTTGATTGTATTCAGGAGACTTCTTAGCTTTGGTTTAGTCCGGTTGTGCTGACTTCCCCTGTAGTGTGTGCTGTCCTTCCCTTCACCTAAGATAATTCTTACCTACTATCTAGTTAGTAAATAACCCTCCTCCTCCCTCCCCACCCTCGTAACCATCAAAGAATGTTTTCTTCTCTGTTTAAACCTTTTCTTGAGTTCTCATAATAGTGGCCTTCTACAATATTTGTCCTTCTGTGACTGACTAAATTCACTCAACGTAATGACCTCCAGCTTCTTCCACGTTGTGTTTTACGGCTTCATCCTTGTTCTTTATCATAGCGTAGTATTCTGTTGTGTGGATATACCATAATTTGTTAATCCGTTAGTCCGTTCATGGGCACCTAGGTTGTTGCCATCTTTTTGCTATTGTGAACAGTGCTGCAGTGAACATGAGTGTGCATAAATCTATTCGTGTGACAGCTCTTATTTCTCTAGGATATATTCCAAGGAGCGGATAGCTGAATCGTATGGTACTTCTATTTCTAGCTTTTTAAGGAAGCACCAAATCAATTTACAAAGTGGTTGTACCATTTTATATTCCCACCAACAGTGTAGAGGTGTTCCAGTCTCTCCACAACCTCTCCAGCATTTATTATTTTGTGTTTTTTGGATTAATGGTAGCCTTGTTGGGATGAGATGATATCATTGTAGTTTTGATTTGCATTTCTCTAATGGCTAACGATCATGAGCATTTCTTCATGTGTCTGTTAGCCACCTGAATATCTTCTTTGGTGAAGTGCCTGTTCATATCCTTTGCCCATTTTTTAATTGGGTTATTTGTCTTTTGTTGAGGTTTTGCAGTATCTTATAGATTTTAGAGATTGGACGCTGATCAGATTTGTTACAGCGAAAAATGTTTTCCCAGTCTGTAGGTTGTCTTTTGACACTTTTGGTGAAGTGTTTTGATGAGCACAAGTAGTTGATTTTTAGGAGCTCCCATTTATCTGATCTCTCTTATGGTGCTTGTGCATTGTTACTTATGGTTTGTATTGTGTTTATGCCATGTATTAGGGCTTCTAGTATTGTCCCTAGTTTTTCTTCCATGGTCTTTATCGTTTTTCATATTTAAGTCTTGGATCCATTTTGAGTTAGTTTTTGTGCATGGTGTGAGGTATGGGTCTTGTTTCAGATTTTTGCAGATGGATATCCAGTTATGCCAGCACCATTTGTTAAAGAGACTGTCTTTTCCCCAGTTAACGGACTTTGGGCCTTTGTCAAATATCAGCTGCTCATAGGTGGATGAATTTCTGTCTGGATTCTCAATTCTGTTCCATTGGTCTATGTATCTGTTGTACCAGTACCAGACTGTTTTGACTACTGTGGCGGTAGTCAAGGTTCTAAATCACATAGTGTGAGGCCTCCCACTTTGTTCTTCTTCTTGAGTAATCCTTTACTTATTCAGGGCCTCTTCCCTTTCCATATGAAGTTGGTGATTTGTTTCTCCATCTCGTTAAAAAATGCCGGTGGAATTTGGAATGGGATTACATTGTATCTGTGGATCACTTTAGGTAAAATTGACATTTTCACACTGTTGAGTCTACCTATCCATGAGCAAGGTATGTTTTTC